CGTTGTTCTGAATTTCCATTAAATGTTTTTCTCCACCCACGGTAGTGATGATTAGAATTTAAGAATCTACGATGACCAAGAAAGACATTCTTATGACCAAATTCCAACCGCGTCCAATTTGTGTTTTCTTCACAGATAGGACATGCACATTGACCTTTAATGCTATACCCCGATAGATTTCTATATGCTGGAAAATCATTAATTGTGTCAAACAACATCGCCCTCAAATTGAAACTTTCTTTCTTATATCCATCATAAACCTCCACACCGTTCTCCCACAAACTCTTTAAGTCTTTGATTAAAGGTGTCAAGTATACGTCTAGGTCATTCCCTGGTTGTTTAAGGCCAGAAATTAACATAGATAACATCATGTACTTACGCTTCATACATAGCCATGGAGGTAGGTTATAAATCATAATAATTATAGGCCAGGTGGAATGTGAGATACTTTGCAGACCATGCTGATTCATTCCATCAGTCGATAATGCCAAACGAAAGTTTCTAGCTTCTTCTCCAAAATCAGGATACTCATTATCAATTTTCATCCACTGTGGTGAATCTGCTGGATGTTGATACTTCCCATCTATAATTCAATCATCTGCATGCCAAGTCAGGTGTTTTGCATTTGTTTCACTACGAAACATGCGTCTAAATCTCGGAATTATAGGAAAATACCATAAGACTTTTGCTGGTGACAACTTTTTCTTATACCGAGATACACCGCGTTTAGGACACTCGTTTAATGATGCATATTCATTTTGAAACAAAATGCAATCATATGGACAAGCATGTATCTTATCATAGCTCATGCCAATAGAGCATAACATTTTTTTAGCTTCATAGGTTTGATTGGGAAGAATATTATCCTCCGGAAGCATCTCTTGAAGTAGGGCTAACAACTTTGTGAAACTTTTATCCGACCATCCATTACCCGCCTTTAAGTTGTACAACTTTAATACCATAGACAATATTGTGAAAGTAGTGCAACCTTTATACAACGGTTTCTCTACATCGCTTACCAACCTCTCAAACATCTTGGGACAATCTTGAAGATCTTCTTCAAGTGCTTCTGCAATCTCTTCGACTCGATCGCAATCATATGTATCTCTGCCATTGTCCTTTGAAGCATAGGTCGTATTATCCCCGGGTTCGACATTCTCGTTACTTATCTCACCATGTAATGTCCAATATGTATAACTTCGATCAATTCCATGTCTCATTAAATGAGATTCCAACTGAACGACGTCAATTCGACGCCCATAACAGCAACCTAAGCAAGGACATGTGATCCTACTGGGGTCTTTGGCGTGTTAAACTGCAAACTTAATGAATTTCGATACCCCATTCTCGTACTCTTTAGACAATCGATTAGAAGACATTCATTTTTTATCCATACTAATTGAGTAGTCTAAACTAAACTAAGAAAGTTAAACAAAAACAGAGAATACCTGTAAAGAAATCAATAACTTCTAAGAAAGCTACACAGTAGGATGCTTGAAAACAATCACAACCTTGCTCTTCACAGGTAACCCCTATAATAGACAACATTAATAACATCATCAACATTAAATAATTCTTGGAACATCAATTGTTGATAAAACTTGCAATAAAATTAATTAATTTGCAATTTATATGGCTAAAGAGGTCATGAATGAATATTACTTGGATACTAATTTTTCATTATTAAATAAGATTCTACATACTAAACTAATTCTTCATATTGTTACCAATTTTCAAAATTGTAAAATTCTTATCTCTTAGCAATAAAATATTTAATCTTAAGATAACCCCAAATATTTTAGTAAATTTAAAATTATGGTTGAGTTTATATTTATCTAAAATTTTATAGATTTCAAGGTTACAAATGGCAATAAATATCTAATAACCTCAAACATTTATAAATTTCACCCTCATTTACAATTGTAAACCGTAAATCAATTAAAAGATATTGAAATGATAAAAAACATTAAGCATAGAGATTATATAAACAATGAAATATAATTCGTCCAAATATATATTGTGATTTGAAAATACAAACATTTCTCCAAATATATATTTTGATTTGAAAATATAAACATTTCTCACAACAAACAATATCTTTTGCAAACGTGTTACAATCATTATGAACTGAGATATACTCAAAGTTAACATAAGTAAACTCATTGTGGCATTTCAACAAACACTTTGTTTACAAAACTCAAGCCAATATCAAAAGAGTAATTCTCATCAACGGTATCAACAAAAACAAGTCAATAACTCAGAAAAGAAGTAACACTAACATCATATCAAACAATAATCCATAAAAATGAAATACTAAGACAAAAATCCAAAAAAATGCAAAATGAAAAACTTCAAATACCGTAACAATGGCGGAAATGCGCTACAGAATAAACGGACGGAGGCTGTCGAAAATGGACGGACAAATGGCGGAGAAATGCAATACAGACTAAATGAACGGAGGAGGGTGACGGTCGGCGGCTGTCGGACGGAGGGAATCGACGGAATCGGTCGTGGTGAATAGGACACGTTCGCCAGAGGAGAAAGAAGGAAAGAAGATGCATGTGCGTACGACTGTTCTATTTCTTTTAAAAATTCTGGTGGGTATTTTAAATTAATTCTAATTACACTTATAGCAGCGCTTCTTAATGACATATAGCAACGCTTATAAAAGCGCTTTCTTTCCTACAACATATAACAACGCTTATAAAGAAAGCGCTTTCGTAGGTTACACCTACAGCAGCGCTTTACAAAAGCGCTTTCTTAGGGGCCTCTATAGCAGCGCTTTACAAAAGCGATTTCTTATGCCATACATTTAGCAGCGCTTTAAATAAAGCGCTTTCTTAGGGCCCCCCTATAGCATCGCTTTACAAAAGCGCTTTCTTATGCCATACATTTAGCAGCGCTTTAAATAAAGCGCTTTCTTAGGGTCCTCCTTTAGCAGCGCTTTTCAAAAAGCGTTGTCTTAGGTATACTGTTTTTTTTTTCTTTTTTTTTAATGACTCTTTAGCAGCGCTTTTTCTAAAAGCGTTGTCTTTGTATGCGCTGCTAAAAGTCAATTCTGGCGTAACCAACTTTTTATACTTCTTTAACCAACTTTGTTTCATAATTTAAGGAACTATTCACAAACACTGTTCACGAGTCACTGTTCATGGTACTGTTCATAACATTGTTCATAAATATATTATTTTATTAAAAAATACATTGTTCACCGTATTTATACGGTGAACAGTGCATATGGTATAAGTATTGGTGTAAAAAATTGATGTATGAATAGCATTACTGGTGTAAGTATTGATGTAGAAAATTGATGTATGAATAGCATTGCTGATAAATAAATAGTTAGTTGGGGACACTTAAAAGAAGCGTTCTCCAATTAAAAAATGTGTGTATATAGGAACAACAGGTTTGCTATGTTTACACCCTTTCGTACACCCAAATATCTACACCGTATGCACTATTCACCGTATTTATACGATGAACAGTGTTTTTTTTATTAAAATAATATATTTTTTTAAAATGTTAATTTTTAAAAAAAATATTTATTTTTAAAATTTATTTTATAACACAAATATAAGATTGCGCATTAACCAACTTCACAGTTGTATTAACCACAAAAATCTACATCATTAGCCAATTATTTTACCTATAATTTATTAACCACTTGTTGCACCCCAAAATTTGCCCACCGGTTTTTCGACTTTGACTGGCTTTTGCTTCGTTCTTCATCTGCATATCATTTTCGCATTTTGCCCGTATTATCAGCCGAATTGAATTTGTCAGGATTTTAGCCGCTTTGCTCGCGTTTCAGGCGAATCAAATTAATTCAAACGAAAAGCTCAGTGTCAAAATCGAGCGAAAGTCGCTCTCCTCTTGATAATTCAATCCATGCTGATAATATCAGCACATTTCGATGCTCGCCCATTTTCCCATGGCATTTTGCATTTATTTATTATTTTTTGCTTTATTTAATCATTTAGAATAGTTATTTATTTCTTTAGAATAGATTTTATTTTTATAAGTTTTTATATAGATTTTTTAATTTAGTTAGAATTTTTTATTAGAAATAGTCTTTTATTTATTTAGAATAGAAATAGATTATTTTTATAGCATAGAATTAATTTGTTTTTAGATTCATTTTAGGATTTTAGAATTAAATTAGTATTGTTAGAGATATTTTAGGATTTAAATATTTTTTAGAATATTAAATAGTTTTGAATAGATTTTTATTTTCATATAGAAATTATTTTATTTTGTTTTAATAGTTTTTAAATATTTTTGTTTATAAGTTGTTTAGAGTTATATATTAAATAGGTTTTTTTAATATTAGGATTCATTTGTAATTAATTTTATTTAATAGTTTTGTTAGAATTTTCTTTTTAAAGTTATTCTCATTTTATTATAGTAAATTTAGTTTTAGTATAGAATATTTTATTAGATTTTATTATTATTTTATTAGTTTAAAATAGTTTTTATTAATTAATTTTGATTTTTTTAATGTTTACGTAATATATATTTGTTTGTGCGTGAGAATTAATGAATGTATATATGTCTTAGCGGTTAGGTTTGTGTCTATTATACTGAAGGTTGGGGGTTCGAATCCTAGCTTTAGCTTTTTATTGATTTTTTTCCGTTTTATTATATTATGTAATATATATTTCGTTTGTGCATTTTGTTGACAAAAGAAAATCTGTCCCAGCGGATGAAGTGTGTATAAAGGATGGGGGGTTCGATTCCCACCCAGGACACAACCCTTCAGCCTTCAAACCCTAAACAAGGGCTCTCAACCATCAACCCTAGCAGTCGCCACTCATCAGTTCCCTCATATCTTCATCATTTTCAAACAAAACTTCAACGGGAAGACAAAGGATTGGGAAAAGTTCTTCAACAACCGATATTCAACTAAAATCCTCTTCTGCAATAACCATCGAGAAACCCGTAAACCAGAAACTATCAAAACCTCCTCACCTTAACCGTACTGCCTTGTTCTTCTTCTAGTTTCATCAGCAAATCACATAGCTTTTCGTCTCCTTGATAGCTGGAAGTTCTCCAAAAGTATGAAAAGCTGGAGGACTTTGTACCAGCCATTCCAGTGTGGTTGAATTTTGTTCAACAGCCCAAGGAATGTTCGCCCTTGTTATGTTATTTCCACTGCTTGAAGTGATTGTTACGACCACGAAGAAACGACGAATCCCAACTACGGATATATAAGAGCCAAAACTGCTAAGGGCATTCCATCCAGCGTAAGCATCTGGATAATCTGGAATGCGACGTGGCATACCCGAAAGCCCTAAGAAATGCATGGGAAAGAGGGTCAGATTAACCCCGAAAAAAGTGATCCAAAAATGGATTTGACCTAAAGTTTCAGGGTATGTCCGACCAAAGATTTTACCCACCCAATAGTGAAATCCTGCAAATAAAGCAAAAACGGCTCCCATAGAAAGTACATAATGGAAATGTGCAACCACATAATAAGTATCATGTAGAGCAATGTCTAGCCCTGAATTTGCCGGGACTATTCCAGTGAGTCCTCCTATGGTGAACAAAAAGATGAACCCTACAGCAAATAACATGGGTGTTTTGTATTGTATCGAACCCCCCCCCACATGGTAGCGATCCAACTAAATATTTTAATTCCAGTGGGGACAGCTATGATCATGGTAGCAGCGGTGAAGTAGGTGTCGCTTGCGCGAAAATAAGGTGCCGGCATGACAGAAGAGTCGCCACCTTTCGTTATTTATCCCTCAGAGCGGGAAAGGAAACGATCGGAAAAACCTGACGAATAAGGGTAAGACAAGGTCATCGCAACCATTGTCTGGGTTCGGGAGTCGGTTACGCAAGGGGAAGGTATTAGCACCCCTCACGTCCGTCGTACTCGACGGGATCCTCGCTTGTTTGTTTACTTGGACGGGTTGGTTATAATCTATCTACCTATCAAGGCTGGCTGAAAAAGAAAATAAAAATGACTCGGCAAAGCGTCGCGCTTTATGCCTACGTATTCTCATCAGAGAATGAGAAATCAGAGTCAACGTAGTTCGGCTAACTACGGGGGAAGATTGGGGAAGGTTGCTCGCTAGGACATCGCATCCTATGCCTACGTACTTTCATCTGGTATGAAAGATCAGAGCTCACGTAGTTCGGGAAACTACAGGAAACAGCTCAACTAGGAGGGAGACTATCAAGTCCTACTATTATCATGCCATGGATTCATCCTATGGTTGAGGTTTGAACAGGGAACTCCTAGATGTTGTCATGCATAGGTTTCAACCTAAAAGTCTATCATCAAATCCTTATCAAAGGAAATGAGAGTCCTAAGGGATCATGTCAATGATACATAGAATACAGACAAAGACATCAGCTTTAACAGTAAAATGCATGCAATGCAAGTGAGGGAGGAAATGTGTGTGGGGTTTCAGCCTCCACAAGCTCATCTCAACCTCAAGCCAGTCATGAAATAACAGTAATCATACTGAAAATAATCAACATGCTATCAAGCAAAACAGTAAACTGCAATCATACAGATAAAGGAAATGAAGTACCATCAGGCAAACAAAACACACTTGAGAAAGAATCACCTACTCTCTAATCCTAATCCCAATCACAGAGTCCTAATCAAATCTAAGCAAAGCCCTCAGGCAAAAACCTAAACAAGAGAAATCATTCCCAGTCTTCAAGCTTCAAAATAAGCTTACCAAAGAAAGGGAGCTAAGCAATCAGACTCATAGTGTCTTCCTCAGGAAAGCACTAGGAGGTGTATACTCAGGAATCATACCCTATGTGGCTCAACCACTGTGATCAGTTTACATCCCTCCTCAGGAGAGATTAAACTCACAAGCAGGCTCCAACATCACTGGATATTTAGAAAATCCTATATGAACTAGTGGAGCTAAGTGAATAGACCCATAGGACCTTCCTCAGGAAAGTACTAGGAGGCTTCCACTTAGGAGTTGTACCCCATGTGGCTCAACAACATGTGATCAGTTTACATTCCTCCTCAGGAGAAATTAAACTCACAAGTTGGCTCCAACATCATTGGATACTTAAGAAAGAGGTGAGAAGGAAGAATGAAAGTCATTCATAGTGCCTTCCTCAGGAAAGTACCATGAACTTCCTTCAAACTTCAGACTCTCAAACCTCACAGACAGGAGATGAGACAAGCTCTGGGTCTCTGCATCTTGGTCTACAAGCTCCTCTTCATGATGCTCCCCATCAATATCCTCAAGGCAACACAAGCCCTTCAGCAAATCCCTCAGAAAGATCCCCACAGATGAACAGATAACCCACTGAACAAACCAAATCATCAGGCAATCTTCAGATAATACCTAAAAATATTAAACTAATGGGGAAAAAATTAACAAATATTCATAAGGGTCCTCAACACCTACTCATAACATCTACAAAGGTTTCTACCTAAAAATCAAGATAAAACTCAATCAAAGAAAGGAATCATCACCTATGCACAATTCTAAACCCTAATTAGACTATCCTAAGTCAACCCTAATTAAACTAATCAAGATCAATTCTAAAAAATCTAGAAAAAATCCTATGGGGAAGTATGAATCATCATCTAATTGCATAAAAAAGAATGGGTAAAAAACCCTAAGGGAATGTCCTAAAATAATTCCTACAAAATCAAATATCAAAATGAAACAATTAAAAAGCTATTTAATTGGAAAATCTATTAAAAATATTGAACCTAAAAATAAAATCTCAATTTTATTTTTATAATTTTCTACTCATTTTAATCTACTCATAGAAAAAAGAAGCAATTAAAAATCATTTTTTAACTATTTTTAATGAATTATTCAAAACAGACAAAATTAAAAGAAAATTAAAAAGAAATGAATTAATTAAAGGAGGGGGGGGGGGGGGCGCAACTAGCACATCAGACTAGTTAAATGAATTGGGCTACACAAAAAGGGGGGTGCAAGTAGCGCTATAGGCCCAGAAGCGGTCTTTAATGAAACGGCTGCGTTTCATTTAGATTCAAATCTTCCCTCCAAACTCAGACACGCGCGCGACCGTTAGATTAGGTGAATTTGTCAAACATTGGATTTGATCCAACGGCGCTCCCTCATCGTCTTCAAACGAACTAGGGTTTTGCAGAACCCTCTCTCATGCACTCATACATTCGAGCTCCATTATCTCTCCCCACAGGCCACGGCTTCCCTCGACCTAAACATGAAAAATCATCTACTTCTCAAGCCCTACACAACCCTACGTACAGTTTTCACCAATTTGCCCTAGATTGTTCTAACAGAAAGCACCAACACCATGGCACCACCATATTCAACTGCTATCAAACTTCATCAAACTCAAAACTAAAAGTCTACAGATGCACTACACGTTACCCTAACTAATACACACTAATTCTTGATGATTAAAACTAACAATCTACATAGTTCTTGCAACTCAAAGATTTCTGGTTCTGTTATGGATCCTCATGGAACATGCTATAACTCTCAGGGATGGATCCTCTAGCCTAGTACATCATTCTTATGGCTATAAAACTAATTAAACTGCAATAATTTAAGAGATATAGGGTGAAGAAGGAACCTGTCAAGAAGATGATGGTGAGGCTCGTGGAGGTGGTTGCAGGTCTTGAAATGGCTTCAATGAGATCCTACAATGGTGAAGAAACTTCTGTTTGCACTTGTTGTGAAGGTGGTGGCTTGAAGTGAAAGAAAACTCAAGTTGCTTCAACTTGAAGAAACTCCTCCAATGGCTATGTATCCTTCTCTCTCCTCTGACTTAGCTTAACTTTCACCAACCTTAGACTCTCCATAATGCACTCTTTTTATAACAATCCATGGAAGTCTCTAGATTCATCTAGAATGATGTGGAAGTTTCATGAATTTCTCCTTGAATGAGAAGTTGGTTATCTCATCTCCCATGCTTCAAGCCTTCAATTTGGTCTCAAAATGTCCTTATGTGAGTTATTGAATGAGGATGAGTGAAAAACAAGTGTATTTGTTGCTTATGTAGGGTTTTCTAACATTGCCTTCTTTCTTAAGTAACAAATTTCCAAAGGAACCTCATCTTTTAAGCCTCAAATGAAAATTCTACTTAAACCAATCTTCTCAAAATGTTTTTTCCAATCAAAATGATATATTGGATGACCTATTTTGGATTTGTAGATCTTCCAAAACACTTTTCAATTTCAACTTTTCAAAGTTATAAGTCATTTTTAGTTCATTTTTGACCAATCATGGAATCTTGTGCTATGAGCCTTTTCAACAATTTGTGACCTTCTTTCTAGACTTAAAATCACATTTTGAGCAACTTTCATGTTTTGAGTTTTTCCATTTGAGGCTTGGAAATAGGAGTTTTAGGCATTGGATAAAATGACCTATAACTGACAAATGACCAAAATGCCCCTGCCTTGTTCAAACCATAAGTTGAGTTCCACAAATCCAATCAAGGACTTCTACCACTCAAATTAAAGCTAAGAAGATCCTCTTCAACATTCATGTTGACCAAGAAACCATAGGAATCAACCTACTAGGGCAAAAGTTGTCTGCAAGTTGGGTGACTTTCAAGGACCCAGATTCACACACCTCTGCTGACCTGTAATTTGTCAAAACCATAACTTGAGCTCTGTAACTCCTATCAGGGACTTCCACCACTCAAATTAAAGCTTAGAACAAGCTCTACAACATTCATGTTGTGGGGAAGATGAGATCTCAATCACATCTATAGCTAAAACTGCCTGGAAGATAGGGGTCAAATTAGGGTTTTTTCACTGACAATCCTCAGAAACCCTAACTTCAAACTTCTCAAACTCCTCATTCATGGTGAGTTGGTCTAGGAATCATCTTTATATAATCTCTATGCATCATTCCATGATCTCATGGCCCTTGGATTAAGTCTCAACCTTCTCCAAATCTTCAGTTGATCTAGGGTTGACCCAGTCAAAACCCTAATTCTACCATTCATGGTTGAATCTTCTGAATTCTTGCATAATGACTTCTCTGGGCTTCATGAAGGCTATCAAAGCATCTCATAAGCTTTCTCAAAACATTTAATTCATTCTCAAAGTCTCAGAATCATCTGAGGAGCACCCACAACTCTCAAACTGTGAAGCACACAACCCTGGTTTCAACCCATCCCTCTGAGGATCTCTTGAACTTTCTGATGAAGGTATCAACTTCCAAACACTCAATGAACAAATAAATGTTGGTCAAATTTTGGGGTGCAACAGCTGCCCCTATTCAAACGGCTTGAACCTGACTGGGTGAGAAGCAAACGGCCCTCAACCAATCAAGGTACGAGACGGTTGAATATCGGTAAACCCGAAAATTTGCCAACTACACGAGCACACGGTACATCTGCGGGGAACAAATCTTCGAATACTGCAACACTAGCTGCTCAACAACTAGCTGGAGAGATACTGATCTGACATCGCCGCCAGAAACAAACATCATTCTGAGAGACACTCGACATCGCCGTCGTACAAACATCATCTCTGCTGGGGATTTAAAGAGTGTGACCTCGCCGTCAAACAAACATCCAACCTCGCCGCCGGAAACAAACATGATTTCAAACACATCTGACCTGGGGTTCACCCCTGGTA